CCACTCTTAGTAGGGCAGGAAGTGGTGGGAAAGGAAGAAAGCAGGGGAGGAATCCACCTTTCTAAAGCGGGCTTTCCCATTTCCAGCTGTGTGTGGATGTCTGTTTTTGGTGCAGGTGCCAATCACACTGTGCTTACATGAACATCTTGGAAATCTAGCTGGGGCAGCGGGGAGTGGGGGCTCAGGACAAGCTGGATGGTCCTGGCCTCTTTGGTTCTGGTGAAGCGGGACACTGAGGTACAACTGGCTGGGACCTTCAGGTCTCTCAGTGCTATGAGTATCAGCAGCAGAGCTTATGGGTTTTTCTGAGACGTGCTGCTCTTAGCTCAGAGCTTGAACCCCTTCCCACCAAAGCACTTTTATAAGACATGTCCCTCATCCATATAGACAAATGACAAGAGGTGACCCTTGGAGCATGTGAATTTTGCAGGGATCGGGAACGGGATGGCATTTGAAAGCAGGCAAGTGGCAGACTTCCCTCCTTATCTTAGAAAATTTGTGAGGAAAGACTGCAGGAATAGTCCCGAAGCATGAGGAATGTTTCGGAGAAGCAAGAAAAACAACACAAACAAAGAAAAGAAAAAAGCAGCAGGACAGATAGATAGAAACGGACACCAAACCAGCTGTGTGATGAGAAATTGGCCCGAGGCCATGATGCAGTCCGCAAGGCGCAACATGAGAAGCTCCTACCCGAAGCGCGGAGAGGGACACAAGGTTGCGTTGCCCATGCTGAGCTACGCGTGGCTGTGCAGGGGAGAAGCAGATAACAGAAATATCTGCACTTTTGTGGTAGTGCTGGGCAGAAATGTGGTGCACGGGCTGCCTGTGCTCCCAGCTATGCCAGGACGGAGGCAACGGTGCAGCCGGTGCCACAAAGCTGTGCTGGTCTCACACACGTGCAAAGGGAGCTTGCAGAGTAGAGGAGCCAGCGGGGCTGGCAGGTTGTGCACCAGAAACCTGGCCATGACACAGGCTGCATGGCTCGCTGGCCACCCTGCTGCCCCGCTCTGGAAGAAGGACGTGCCTGGGTGGCAATAAGGACTCCGAAGGCAGCTGTTGGACTAAGCCCAGGAAAACAGGGATGGCTCCATCCCCCTTCCTCCTCGAGTGCAGTTGCTGGTGCTTTGCCTTCCGAGCTGTTGCCGCGCTGCCCTCRCATGCGTCTGCCTCCTTCGTGCATGGATCCCTGCGTGTTTCGATGGGGAATGCAGGATGYGGCACCACCACTTTGATGCATGGGCACTTCTTTCCTTTTCTACCATCTCCAGTGCAAAAAAGGTTTAGTAAATTGTAAAATTTGCAGCAGTGGGCTCTTGGGGAGATAGAGTTGCACTCTGCTGTGTGCCGTCCCCTTTCCTGGACCACAGCAGCACCCCACAAAGGCAGAGACACTTTCAGCTTAAGCAGAAGGAGCCACTAAACAGGGAAGGGGGAAAGGAGATGGCTCTGCCTGCTCCTGCAGTGACATTCAGGAGAATCACTCCATGTGGGCAGTAACAGCTGTGCAGAGCTGTGGCACGTGGCCAGAGCGCAGGCACAACTACTCCGTGCACGGTATAGATGGAGGGGGGCTTCTCATTCCGTCCCATGGGAAAAACACAAAGGACACACGAGAAAAACTTTCCTTTTCCCACCCCATATGCCCAGGTCAAAAAAATCTGCAGCTACTAGGAAGAAAAGGTCTGTTGAGCAATGACCCACATATTTCAAAGTGCAGTCCCATGTGAGCTGAAAGTGTGCTTATGGGGAGCAGAATAAATTACTGCTCTGCTCATCAGGAAAGTTCTGACTTGTGACAGAGAAATGGGAAGGAAAAGAAAAAAGGAAACACTTAGCTTTAGTAGAGCTGAGGCTACAAGTAGAAAACAAGTTTCCCTCTGCTCAGCCGCAATGTTCCCACCAGGTATCATGTGGATGAAATGAGAAAACACAAGACCCGCCGGCAGAGCCAGGTGGAGCATCCTGGAGACATGCCCGGCAGCACCCTGCTTCAGGCTGTATTCCCATGGGATAGCTAGGACCAGCATGGCCAGGTCAATATGCCGGCTTGTCTCTCGTACACACACACACGTTTGCAGTAACTCCTGCACCCACCCAGCTTGTGTCACGCCAGTATCCCACCTGGATGGGCACAAAGATTCCCTCTGGGCCTCTCAGCCCCCAAGTGCTGATGTGGAAAAGGGTGGTGGGGCAGCCCCAGTGCCACCAGGCCTGGYGAGGGGCAGCACTTCTTTCTGGGATCCCACTTTGGCAGCGGGTGCTTCCCAGAGACCTGGGAAGTGGTTTCCAGCCCAGGTGCCGGGATCAGGRCCTGGTGGGCAGGCATAAGGTGGAGGTGGGAGGCAGTTCCCCCCAGTCTTTGCCTCGAAAGGCTCCTGGGTGGGCAAGCCCTGAGCACAGGGGCACATCGTTGTGCCCCGGGCACGCTGCTCCCACAGGCAGCGCTGCCTCTTGCAGGGGCTGCAGCAACGCGGGGAGATGCGTTAGGATGGCAGCTCCATCCCTCTCGCCCCTAGCTGGGAGACCAAAGAGCAAAGGGGGTTGCCGTGCTGCACCCTTCGCAGCTGTAACATCCCCTTGCAAGGAGGAGAGGCAAAACCCCCCAGCAGGTTGGTAAATGGAAGGGGAGTCAGAAAGCACGGTGACTGGCAGAGGCCGTATGGATCCTGCCACCACGCCAGCGCTTTGCGGGCGACGCACGGGAGGGACACGGACACAGACACCAGGCCAGGTTACCCCGCAGGGGGCTGCAGCACGGAGCCCCCAGAAGAGCATCACCCAGCTCAGGAAGGTCCTTGTGACCCCCTGTGCCACCTTGTTTGCACCCGGCCTCCTCCAAACAGAGGGCTCAGCCCTCTCCCCCTGTCCTCAAGCAGGCAAAAGCGCCTGGCCTCTCCTGCTGGCCATGGGCGCAGAGCTGGGCCTGGGCATGGGGTGGAGAGGACCTGGGGTGGGATGTCCTGGCTCTGGGAATGGCCTCAGTGGAGGYGGGATACAGCAGGTGTGGGGATGAGTTGCAGTGTGTGTCTGGGTGGCAGCGGCAGAGCGGGGCCCAGGGCGTAGCGGCTGCGGGAGCGGGACACAGAGCTCGGGTGCTGCCCAGGTTCCGTGCTGGCAGGGGCCGACAGGCGCTCTGCAGGAAGGAGAGGGGCTCCCTGTGCTCAGGGATGCAACCAGAGCAGCTCCCTGTTTGTCCCAGTAAAATCATTTCCTGGGGCGCTGCTTTGTTTTTTTCTCCTCTTCTTTCTTTTCAAGCTAAAATCCCTGGGCAAAATGGCATAGAAATGGATTTATCACCAATTTGACGTCCTCACTAGGAGGATGCGAGCAGAGCCTGCACCTTGTTGATTAGAAAGGCAGCGAGGTGCTGCACTGAGGCTCAGAGAGCTAGTGCAGCCCCCTCGTGCCCCCTTCCCTGCAACTCGCTGCCTGGGCTCTTCCTGGCTGCTTCGGGGCGCAGAGCCACGCTGCCCGTGTGGGGTCTCTGCTCCAGGGCCCGAGCAGAGCCATGGGGCTGGGCTGCCCGCGGGAGCGGGAGCGGGAGCAGGAGCAGGCGGGTCGGCCGCAGGGGCTGCGGGCAGCGCGTGCTCGCACGTGTGCCGCGCGGGAGCGCGATGAGGAGGGACAGCTCTGAGTCAGGCGCGCGCCGCAGGGGCTGCGCTGTGCCCGCGAGGCCGCGAGCGGCGCGGAGGCGCCGGCGGCGCAGCGCGCGCGGGCAGCGGGGCCCAGGCGCCAGGTCGGGCCGCCTGCCCGCGAGGTGCGCGGCGCTTCGCTGGGAGAGCCCCTGCTCCCCCCCGGAGAGCCGGGGACATGCGGCGGAGCACGTTGCGTGCCCGCCAGCCGYGGCTGGTGCATCATGCTGAGGCCCGGGCGCCTGTGACATCTCTTTGCCACGAGCTGGGACTCAACCTTCCCTCGGTGCCGCTTGGGAGACGTCCCTGCAGGGGAAGGGGGTGCACRCAGCGCGCGGAGGCAAAACAAGCCTTGGCACTGCATTTTGGTGCCTGTGTATGTGGGGAGGGAGTTGGGGGGGGACATAAACGTGGCAAGAAGTGTTTATTTGAAGTCAGGACTAAGGAGCGAGCGAGCCCGGGAGCGGGCAATGTGCTAACAGCGAGAGTAGCGGCAGGGRGGAGTGGAGTGAGGGAATGAGGGCTGGAAGCCGGACACGGGGAAAGGGGGAGACGCGCGTGCGACACCGTGACCTTTTCTCCCCCACTCTGGCCCTGGGCTCAGCAGGGCAGCTCAGCACCCGAGCAGGCGAGGGAGCCCAGGGAGGTCAAACGAGGGGCTGGGAGCCCGACGGCACGTAGCCCTTTCCCGCCTGCCCCTCTGCCCTTCCCGGGGGCGCTGAGGGGCTTGCAGCCCTCCCGGCCCCCTGGCGCACGCGCACGCGCCCGTGCGCCGCACACAAACACGCACAGCCGGGAGGCGCAGGAACTGCAAAGGCGCCACTCCGAAATCTCCCCTCCCTCCATGCCRGCAGCGAGGATAAAGCCAACTGTTGTCCAGGGTCGTCCTAGGCATAGGCTGACTCCGAAACGCATGAGGATCCATGAATTTAGGGAGAAAGGTGAGGGGAGGCCACTTCTAAAAGGTGACATTTAGTCTTCCCCACTGACAGGGTGGATRGTTCTGCTCAGCAGGACAGGGACAGACCTCGCTGCTTCGCGGGATCTGACCAGGTCCCTRAGGAACRAACATCGTGACACKCTTTCCCYGCTGTCCCTGGGCCRRCACATCCCAGGGCTGGCAGCCCTCRCTGTCCAGGAAGGAGCAGGAGCCCTAGCCCAYATCTMCTTGCTGCGCAGCTGCACCCTGCRTTTCGTCAYGCTGGGCYGGCTCCYGCCMCGGCGAGGGCAGCACCCCCTTCCCCATCGTTGCCCAGAGGGGCATGTGGTGGCCCTGCTGGGAGCTGCGGGTCGCCCTGGGAAAGGGGAACCCTGAACCCTGAGTGTGGAGCTCTCTGGCAGGAGGAGCATGGGCGCGAAGGACCTTACCTGGACATGGTCATCTCTGCCTGGGGGCTCTGCGACTTCTCCAGGCCCAGCTTGGTGAAGATGCCCACCAGCACCATGATGGCCACCACGCCGCAGATGATGTACACAATCATGTTGGTCTTGTCCCGGGTGGGATCCTCGGGGGTCTCGTCCACGCGGGCCGGCGGCTGGCCCGTGTTGACCCAGTTGGGGGTGTCGTAGTTGGAGCAGCCGCTTTGGTCCAGCCGCCCGGGCTTGAACTGGCAGCAGAAGCGGTACCCGCATGTCCCGCAGCAGTACTGGTAGATCCCCAGGTTGCAGTTAAACGGCGGGTCCCACTGCCCCATGACGTCGTAGTAGCCGCGGCAGCGGTCGCCGCCCGGCATGGCTTCGGTGGGCGCCGCCGCCACGTCCTCGGCCGTGGGGCCCCAGCTGGCGTTGTTGCTCTCCACCTGCGCCTCGGGCTCGGGGCCGCGCGTGCCCGCCTCGCCGGCGCCCGCGCGGCCCGGGTCCAGCAGCACCAGGCAGCAGATGCCGAGGACGTAGCCGCGCTCCATGCGGGTGCGGCGCCCCCGGCCCGCCATGCCAGCCGCCCGGTGCCTCAGGGCTGTGCGGCCGCTCTGCCTCCCGCGGGGGCAGCGGGCGAGAGGCGCCCGCCGCTCTGCAGGGGCCACYGGCGCGGCGCCCTGCTGCCCACCCTGTGCGAGGGGGACGGCTACGCGCGCTGTCCCCCCGGGCCCTCGCGAGACGGGGCCCCCGGCACCCGCCTCATGGCTGCGAAAAAGCCCCCCGCGGAGAAGAGAGCAGGGTTCAGCTGAGGGGAAGGTGGGGGAAGGAAAGGGGAGAGAGGGAAAAAGGGAAGGGGAAAAAAAAAAGAGAAAAGAAGTGATTAAAAAATAAAAGTATGAGAGGCTGCACCCCCTCGTCCGGTGGAAAAAAAAAATAGCCCAACAGGCGGCAGTTCCGAGCGGGGGCTCAGGCAGGCGCACGGCGCTGGGCAGCACTCATCCCCCGAGCCTCGCGCAGCAGGGTCGCATCCCGGCGCATCCCGGTGGCGGCGGTGGTGGCGGGAGCAGCCGGGCTGCCGGGCGCTGCCGCCGCCCGCCCCATCCCGGCTGCCGGCAGAGGAGCGGGAGGCGGGCGGCAGGCAGCGCGCGTCCGCCTCTCACCCTGCCTCGCACACACTGACGGGCAACGGAGAAAGGGAAAAAAAAAAAGGAAAAAAATCCCAACCCTTCGCACCAGAGAGGGAGGGAGAGAGGGAGGGAGGGAGGGCGCAGCAGGCGAGGCGGCGAGGGGCGGGAGAGGCAGGAGGGGAGCGGAGCGGGCCCGGCGCGGTGCCCAGGAGGGCTGCGCGCCCCGCGGCCATCGCTTGCCACCCAAGGGCTCCCTTGGTGGGTCCTGCCACATGCTTGTGTCCCACGCCGCTTGCCGCCCCACGCTGCTTGCCGCCCCACGCTGCTTGCCACCCCGCACTGGGCTCTGGCTCCCGGCCAGGGCTTGTTGCCGGGCCAGCTGCAGATCCCGGCGCTGCTGTGGCCCGTGGGCTCCCTCCATGTGTTGGTGGGTGCCCTTCGTGGTGCCCTTCTCCCCCTGCACCCTGCTCTGCCCATTCCTYCTCCTCCTCTGGCGGTGCCACCCTTGATTAACCCCCTGCAGCAGGTCCAGCCCCGGCTGTGTCACACACCAGGGTTTTCCACAGCACCATGCAGACCGGGGCAGGAGGAAGGAGGGTTTCTGCAGCCCAGGCTCAGGGAAGGTGGCAAATCCGTGTGCCCCTGCTGCCTGCCTGGCCACAGCACCGCTCCTTGCGGTGGTGAGGCTGGGTGTTCCCCATGTCCTTGGTGGGCCCACCACACATGTTGGCACAGGGACTGCTGCCAGGTCCTGCCATCCCAGCACGGGGAGTTATTGAGTGTTATAACGATGCAGAGGAGGAGGGAAAGATTAAACTGGCCAGGGAGGCTCAGCTCCCTCTCAGGGGTGGCTCCCTGGGCTYCACGTGGCGGGCGAGGAAGGCAGGACCCCCAGATCCACCCGTGCTTTGTGCAGAGCAAGCAGCCCCCCAGCCCTGTGGCGAGYGTGGCGGTGAGGGCTTGGGGCAAGCTCCCAAGGGCGGCGGTGGCGCGAGCGTGCCAGCTTGCCCCACGGGAGCCGCTCCGCTGGCGAGCAGCGAGCGAGGGAGAGCAGCGCCGTGTGCTCTGCGGCGAAYGAGCCCTGCGCACGGGGAGTGCCGTGTGCCAGCATCAGCCCCTCCACATTTAATAATGACTGGTGCTCGGGCCAGGGCTTTGCACGAGCAGCCCCGCAGTGAAGGGGAAATGCTGCTGCCTTCGGCTCGCGGGACGGATTTAGGGGATACCGAGTATTGGAAAACCAGGGTCAGCTTCAGCTCACCAGCCGCGCTGCAGCGAGAGCYCTGGCGTGTCCCAGGTGGGGCAAACGTGGTGTTGATGGTGCTGCAGGAGCTGCTGTGTCTGTCCCAAGGGGCACGGGCACCACACCTGCCCGAGGACACGTGAAGCCCCTCTCCCCTCTGCCTCCTTCGAGTCACCAGCATCGAGCCCTGCCAGCTCCTGGACATTTCCCATGGTGAGGTGAAGGCAAAGTTGCTCGCTTTGATGGCAGGAGCTAAGAGGAGCTTTGCAGATGTCAGTAAACAGAGCAGCTGGAGCCTGGGACATGGTGAGATGGGCCCCGAGTGCCGCAAGCTAATAGAGATCCATTCTGCAAGGTACCTTCCAGCCTCTGGAGCTTCCCCAGAAGATAAAAGGCAGTGAGGTGGAAGAAAGCTGAGCATCTCCAAAAGACAGGCTTTTGCCAAATCGCAGCAGCTCGCTCTGACTAAACGCACTATCAGTCAGAAGTTGCAAACCTGGGTGTCGTTAACGCTAATACCCCAAACCAGCGCTTGCCTGCACAGAAACTGTGCAAGAAAAGTTTGCTCGCTGCCCAGGTAGTGACAGAAATAATTTCCTAGGAGCCGGGCAATTGCTCACGACATGCCTGCAAGCAGAGCCGTCCCAGGGGCCGGAAGGCTTATCAGCCTGGAAGCAAGTGGAGAGAGAAACTGGCCAAAATTAGAGCCTTTGCAAGGAGGAGGTTGCCTGGAATGACCTGGGAAAAAGAGAACATTTCCAAGGGGGATTCTCATGGGTGTGAAGGAGGGATTTGGAAGGGTCCCTTGGATCCCATGCCACCGTGCTGCCTTTGRCTGCTGATCTGTATGGGATGTAGAGAGAGAGCCTCTTGCAGGAATCAGCTGGCTGCATCAGCTCACAGGTCGGTAGGCACAGCTGGAGCAAAAGCCAAGCCTGCGCTTGCACTCGGGGAGGRGGAACCCGGGGAAGGAGCTGTGGTCGATCCTGGCCACAAGCATTGAAGGCTGTCACGGAAATATTCCCTCCAGTGACAAGGCCACCCAGGCTACAAAAGTGAGTCTGCTGGAATACACTGTGGCGGGTATGCATGGATATGCCGATGGCTGGCACTATAAACAGGTTGTCTCTGGCAGGACAAGGCAGTAGAGAGGAGACAAATCAACCCTAGCTCCTCTCGRCCACGGCCAGGAGAGTCACTGCTGGCCCTTGGCCCCAACCCGGGGCTGGTGCGTGGGGTCCCCGCAGAGCCCAGGCAAGAGGCTTGGCAGCCCTTGGGAGGGGAAAGCCTGGGTGAAACTCGCAGAGCCCTGTGGATGCAGCACCGAGGATGCAGCAGGGAGGAGCTGCCTTGCTGGTGAGTGMGGATGGGTCTTGTACAGGGCTCAGCTTTGTCCCGGGCTGGGAAGGAACTGCTCCGAGGGCTGCAAAGGGCAGCAAAGGTTCAGGGGGACCCAAGGCACCCCGAGGGTCCCTCCAAAGGGAATCGCTGTGGGAGCCAAGGACCAGAGTGGTTAACACTTTTGTCACTTTGGAATGAGCTGACCAAGGAAAGGGTGGGCTGGGGCACACTGGCACGGGATGGATCCCTGAGCTGTGCCGGGGTCGGAGCGCTGTGGGATGCATCACCGCCTGTCCGTGCTCCACTGGAGCRGGCTTGGCCACCTGCAAGCAGCAGCTAAAGCCAAACACCGTCAGCTCGGGGAAGCTGAAGGCTAAGGAAGGCTGTCAAAGATATTGCAGGATTTCTTTGCATTTGTCGAAGTCCACAGTGAAGGAAGTTGCTTCTACCTGCGCTTCCACAWAAAAAAGGAGCATCTCACTGGGGGCTTCTTGCCTTCTCCTGGATCTGCTGCCCCAGCTTATTCCTGGGGGGCTGGCAGGATAGTGCTCCTTGCCAAGGAGCTTGTAGAGTCAATAGATGATGGGATCTGCGGGAGATATCAGGCTTCTTGTTTCAGTGCTGGAGAGCTAATGGAAAAGTTAAATTTCAAGCGTGGGGACTCAGGGAATCAGCATCAGAGACGCGACCTAGACCTTGCCCTTCCCCCAGTTCCAGCCCRTGGTGTGCAAAGGTTTTGTTTCCCTGCCCAGGTTCTGTATTTGGGCTGTAAAATACCCTGCCAGAGAAAGGATGCCGCATAATGGCCTATATAAAACACAGAACCATATGTGCATTTACCATTAAGATTATAATTGCAAACGCTAGAAAGTTGAGATCTGCAAGCTCCCGGCTTCCCAAAGGAGGCTGCGCTCGAACCCAAATGACACCCAGAGCAATCAGCAGAAAATACATTCAGAGCTCAGGCTTTTATTTATCTATTTATCTATTTATGTATTTATCTATTTATGTATTTATCTATTTATTTATTTATTTATTCATTGTACCCAGCCCTGGCTGAGAGCAGGAGCCGGCCTGGTGGCCTGAACTCATCCCGCAGCCGGGGCTGCACGGCTTCGGTGGCAGGTGCTGCGAGCTGGCTGCGCCTTCCGGGAGGCTCCCGCCACTCGCTGCCCACGGAACTTGCATTTACAGCAAATCCCAGAGGCCTTGCCGGTGTCCAGAGCATTGCTGGGAAGAGTTTTCCTGGGCAGGCGCGTGGTGCTGGGCTGCTCTGGGGCAAGGATGTCTTTAGGGGCCCCCTGAGGCAGAGCTGGGCTGGCACCATCTGGATGCGAAGAGTTGCAGAGCCTCTTGCACCTGAGCTTWGGGGTGGCTGGCAGGGCACTGGAGCCAAAAAGCCGCCTCTTCCTGGGTGTAGTGCGCCCAAAACACGGCATGAGCCCCAAGCCTGCCCTCCTTCCCACGAGAGTGGCTGCTCCTCATGGAAGGGACTGATTTAAGGCAAAAGGGGGCCAGTGAGCAGCGATGTTTGCCTCATCCTTTCCCCAGCACGTCCTCTGTGCCACTGCTTTAAATATGCCAGGATTTGGGTGAAAGCCAGACATGGCGGTGGGAGGGTAAAGCTAAACCTGAGTCTGCTTTTGCTGGACAGGCTGCTGGAGGCACCCGGGGCGCCCGGCCGGTTCAGGCTGTGTTAGCCAGGAATGACTAACCCGGCTAAAGTCACGGCCAGATGGCCTCTTGTCACTGGGGCCGGCCGCTTTCTGCTGTGTTCTTGCGGTTGGCGCCGGGCCCTGGGCAGACCCCGCCAGGGCAGAGACGCCCYGTCCTTGGACTGGGCTGGATGCCCCCGATGAGCCGT